CAGCTCCCTAAGTACCCGAGACTGTGGTATAGCCCACACCGGAGCAATCTGTGGGGAAGGATTGTTTCCAGTGGGCTGGACTCACGCTGGAGAAGTTTGTGGATTTTTCCTCGTGGGTAGGGGATCCATTGGAGCAGGGGAAAAGGGTGTAAGGACTCCTTCTCCTTTAAGAAAGAAGCAGCAGTAACAGCACGGAATGAACTGACCTGTACTCCCCCAGTCCCTGCCCCCTGTGCTGCTGGGGGGAGGAGGTAGAGCCGGGAGGAAAAGGAAGGGGGGGGGGAAGGTGTCGGTTTTAAGATCTGGTTTTGTTTCTTTCTGTCCTCTCAAGTAATCGGTTTTTGTTTCCCTTTATCCTTCTAAGTAATCATTAATAAACTGTTTTGCTTTGAGAAAAGCTCTGCCTGTTTTGCCCAGGACCATGGTTGGTGGGTGCTCCCTCTGTTCTTGTCTCAACCCTCAGTCCCTTTGTTTTTTTTTTTTCCTCTCCTCTCTACTTTACTGGAGAAGGAGAGACTGTGTGAGTTTTAGTTGCTGGATCAGCCTAAAACCACGACAGGATGAAATACAGGGAATAAATTCTTGCCCTTCCCTCCATCACCTACTGTTTCCAAAGCAAGAGATCTTAAGCTTGCATTAACCCAGTCAGAAACTATGTCCAGATGACGGCAAGATAGTCCTGAATGTGAACTGTAATATTTTATTGCAGGACAAAGCACTATTAATGATGTATAAACTACAAATGAAGGCAAGCCTAAATCACTTTTGATGTGGACGTGATACAAGACATCCTAAGAGCACCGCTTTATATTACAACCCATCTTTCATCCCAGATCTCCTTCCCTAGCCAAGTTCTCAAATCTCCCAAACAGCATGCACTTGAGCATGCATCCAGGCAAGGCTCATGTAAGAGGACTTCCGTAGACGTTTCAAGGGGTGATACCCCAATCTGAGCATTTGGCAATATATGCTCTTTCTGCTATTGAGTGAAATACTACCATTCCAGCAATGGCGGAAGTAGAAGGTGCAGAGCATTATTTTATGGCAGAATAGGTGTTTTCGAACTAGGACTAGCTCATCAACCTGCTACCTGTATGACTAGGCTACCATTTTTAGGCATGCTTTAGCCGTCATTTGTGATTTTAAATGCAGTTTATTTCCTTTACCTGAAAATTCAGTTATTTATAGAAAGTCTTGTCCACTTAGTTTACCTGGGTGGTGGTCTGTGGCAGAATCTCACCACAGCACTGGCAGCGTTACCTTCATTTTCAATTTTGATCCAGGGACTTGACAGACCAGAGAGGGGGAGGTTCAACTATATCAGTGGTCTCCAAAGTGGATTGTAGGAAGAAAATATTTAATACAAACCACTTTTTAAAAAATTACAAAAGAAACGTAACTAAGCAAAATATACATGTATATTTATTCATTTATAAATTATATACATACTGATGTGGTGCTTGATGAAAAAGGTTTGGAGACCACTGAACTAGATAATGTCGAGGGGCCCCTTCCACCCAAAATTTCTGTAATAGACATTGTGTTTTGGTATTAATTCTATAAAACAATGTTTTAATAGTCCTGTACTTAATTTGAGATAGCTATATGTAATCAACAAGAACGTAAGGTTTTTACACTCTAGTTTCTACTTCAGACAAGTATCCCAACATTAATAAAATCTTGCATTAATCAGAAAGCCTTTCAAACTGGAGCCAGAAGTGGAATGTTTTGGATGATTTCTTTCTGTGAAGAACCAGAACCATTTAGCAAACATGCTTTCACCCATATCCAAATGTTGCGTTAACATAAAATACATTAAACAGAAGATCAACATGTCTGGGCCTTAATAGACATGCAAATATACAGGATTTGCTGCTGAAATTACAAAGTTCCTGGAAGCGGGTTTTTTACGATGACAAATAACGCTACGCACCCTTTAGAAGTTATGACTATTAGAGACATCTTTTGTCACAGCCCAAATTCTGTGCAAGCATGTCATAGTAAAATGATTGTATTAAGTCATGATATACTAAATATGCACCTATAGAATCTACTTTAAACCAAGGTCTTGTCAATGACTGCTATTAAAACAAACACAAGAATTTGGCTATGCTCAGTATAACAGATACTCAAATGTTTCTGAAAAAAATTGATTTTGAAAAAGCGAGGAAAAAAATCCAGAAGCTGATATTTTCTCATATATATATATCATATAAAACTAATCAAAAGAACAACTACATTCTACTGTGTAGCAGACTAGATTACATATGTTGTAAAAAAGCAGCAAAAAGATCTCACAATGCTTCAAGCGTCAATAAAAAAAGCTTTTAATATTAAGCATTTTAGAGGAGCTTACATGCTCTTTAAAGCAAATGTAAAGACTTAACAATTAAGCTTGTACCTAGTACATTTTCGAAGTTGTATAGTTTGTAATAGTGATGAAGTTGACTTCTATATTAGCTACAGCTTTCACTCAAGATATTCTTCGAAAGATGCCATAATGTCACTCTGCTGATTAATATCAAATGCCATCTGCAAGAAAGCAAATTAGTATATTTTCAGAGCAGTTGGACATTAGTTAATACTATGCAGGTTGAATATTTCATAAAGATTCAAGAAAAACTACAAAGCCTCTTAAAACGTGTATGCTTCCTCTGTTATTACAGGATTGAGTGTGCATGTTAAAGTCTTCTCTGAAAAGAGCTGAACAGGATGAAAGCTTCAATAGACCTTATTCTGAATCTAGCATGATCTCACATTGCAGTTCTTAAGTTCCATTGTACAATATTATGATTTTTAAAAAAATTAATCTAAAAAAATAGAAGCAATTAAAAAAAATTTGTTACCTACACCAATAAAACCAGTAAGTTAGTTTTAAAAAGGATCAGTTCTGGTATTTCAGACCAGAACAGTATGACTAGCGCTTTTGTTGACATGGAATACGTTAAAAAGGATAGACAGCTTGCAAGACTTGAGGTTTGAAGTTATTCTAGGCTTATGGGGGTAATGGACTAAGCAGGTAGTTTCCCATGTTCGACCACTTGAAGACCTACTTTGAGTTTCCTATTTAATGTTCTGGACTAACTCTTCAGGTAGCATAGTTCTGTTGTTTTCAGTCATTCATGTGTTTTAAAATAAGGACCTGAGCTAAATTTTTTTTTATTCTCTTTTAAAGTTGAAACAAAATTAACTGGCAAGAGTCAGCAACTTACTGCTTCCCTCCTCCTGCGTTCTTGTTCCATTTTTCTAGCCAAGTTACGGTCTTGAACAAGAGCATGTTGTTGAGCTTGGGGCAGTTGTTCGCTCCTTTGCTCTTTTTGGGGCTCACAGTCTGTGTCTGCCATGGCACCCAAGCCTGGGTCTTCATGGCCCCTTTAAAGAAAGCAGAAGAGATTAGTAAAGGATAAAAGTCGTTTCTTCTTTTTCTTCATAACAAGCCTTTGCACCCGAAGAGAATTCTGCAAATAATTTAAAACAGTGCATAGCATTCAAACCACGGTTCTGTTTTACATGTTGATTCATAGTAATTTCCCCTCCCAAGAGGTATGTGCATGCAATTGTTAGGCTGTGGTAGGATAAGGTTTCCCATGTTTCATTCCCAATTGATACTACACAGGATTTATTATGCATGCTACATAAAGCTTACATGCCCTTTCTTTGACAGACACACACACTTAGATTTCTGTTACTTTCTTAGCCTGTGATGCTTCGGTTCTACCTTCTTCCTCTTTGACTAGTTATTTGAGTTAGATTTCACAAACTTCTGGCAAGCATCTGTCATGTCTTATCTATAGAGCTACATGAGCTACATGCCCAGTTTCCTTCTCATGGAAACCTGTATTAGCTGAAGGTGCTTGGACTGTTTATTATACGTTCTGAACAAGGACTTGACTCTTAAGTCTCTCAGATGATCTGTTTATTAAAATGATACACTCCAAACAAATGACCTGTTCTAACACAGCCAGCAAGAGGCAGGAGCAGGAGAATTTAAGAACAGGCTCAGACTTATCTTTTATAGAGTCAAGCAAACAAGAAAAAAATCAAGATTACTGAAGAGAGAAATATTACAGAAAGCAGAGTTTGAAAGAGATGGCAAACAGCAATCTAAGATATTACTGCAATGCAGTAATTAGTAGGCAGTCACTTATCCCACTCAGTGTAATAATAGACCTCAGACTGGGACACATATGTGGGCACTCACTAAAACTGGCTGCAAACAACTAGGGAAGAATGCTACAGCAGTAGCTTATTGAATATGTTTCTCTACAGTAATTCAAAGAATTCTCCTGTCTGAAGTGGTGCACACTGGAACTCCTTTAGCTGCGTTAACATCAAGTCCTTGAAGACTAGATTATCCTGCTTCCCCTTAGGATAGCAACAAGATGGGGATTTTCCTGGCTACAGCTATAGAAAAGTAAGATACTGAGGACAAATGTGAATTCTGGTCATGACCAGAGGAATTGAGTGCTCTAGGGGACCAAAAAAAAGAAGTTTCTTTGACTGCTGAAATGATATTGATTTGTGAGGGAGAAAGCTGCTTGGTGTTTTGGATATGCAGTTGTGTTTGAGAGTGGTACAGCTCCCCTCTTCATCTAACATGTGGCAATTACCTAATCCAAACCACTCGTTCCTGAATAACTAAGCCATCCAGTACCATACAAACAAAAAATAGAATAATATTTAAACATATGTGGTTACGAACCTCTCTTCTTCTTGAGGAAGGTTTTGCAGTTCTGTCTTGGATTGCACCAGAGACCTTTTTAACTCCTGCTCTTGCTCACTTCTCCTCTTTAATGCTTCTTTCCTGAACTGTTCGAAGCATTCAGCAGATGTTTTTATCGGAGCTGGAAGCGTCATCGTTTTACATAAGCTTACCCAGGAATCTAAATTCTTAAATCCTGTATCCTGAAGTTAATAGAAAAATGAAAACATAAAAGAGGCAAAAATACTCTACAACTACTGATCATCTATTATCTACCGAGTTCTTACATTAGGACTATGTTGTAAGGCTGGAACTATTTGGGAATATCTACAACAAAATATCCTTATTTCGGCAGAATATTAGTGCAAATACGGCAATCTAAGCAGACTTCAATATGTTTTCTCATCAATTTTGAGGTTCTTTAGCAACATACTAAAAATCATTCGCATTTGTAGCGCTTCTTACCCAATCCTTTACGTCCATCTATTTTTTAATTCCAGAAAACATGAATTCACAAAACTGAGTTTATGCAAGGTTCATTGACAATATTTTAATATGAAGAACATCCATCTCATTTCTATACATAGTCCTTACATAACAATAGTTTTGTATTAGGCTTGTGGGTTTTGTTTGTTTTAAATACCTGTGTTTTCTCACCTGACATTTTCTTCACAGTGAAAAACAGCATAAAAACAGTATTCTTAAGAAGTACTGCTTCTAATAGAAGGTCATGTGTTTATGAAGGAAATACATATTTTTGGAATTTAATTCAATAAAAAGCTAATAGCTTTCTGAAAGCTAAGTGCCTAAAGAAAATTCCTAGGAATATTTTAATTCAACAGATTATATGCAAACATTTTAGGTCCAGAGACTGACATGATCAATTACTTAGACTGGTAATTTCAATTTGATGTTTTCAAATAGCTGATTACCACAGAAGAATTTAAATAATAAGTAAGAAAATTCCTCTGTTCCTCCATTTAAGATAACCTATTATATGCTAGGAAATATTTTGCTTAAATTTCATAAAAGCCGTCAGATTTTTCCCCAATTGTAATAATGTCATCAGAAGTGTATCATCCTGTTTCAGAACAGGCTTTTCAATAGTTCCCAAGGCTGTATTCCACACTACTCTTATTTTTGTTACCAGATCAGCAAGGGAAAGCACACTATTAGCTTGAACATTAGAACTAGATCAAGGAACACTAACAGTTTAAATATTAAACTAGGTGAGATAAGCCGTATTTTTAATGCCATATGAATATGTTATTTTTAACTTAATCTTATATAATTTACCTTCTGAAGTGATCAGAGCCCATAGATTTGTGTGTGTGTGTGTTTCTTTTTAAGCACTAGAAATAAGATAAATTCTTACAGGTTATAACAATGCCCAAGACCTATCAGACACTAAATATTTGAATAGATCAGATTTTCAGATAAGATCCTAGGACAGGGAATTATTGATCCTAGTAAGTATACTCAAGCTCTTTTCAAATAGGACTTGAGCAACACTTACCTTTCTTGGAAGAATTTTGGAATTTGGCTCTAGCGTGTTTTTACCATTTTGTTTATCATCAGGCATACAATGACCTGATGGAAGAATAAAAAAGATTTTTCACTCATGTTGTTTTTATGAACTATGTTTCCTCAAAGTTACGTGATAAAAATTTAGTCATTCTAGAAATTTACTTAAAAGTTTACGCTGCAATTTTTTCTTATTGTTACTATGTGGTTCAGAATCACAGAAACGTTGCCAAACATACGCTCAAGTTGAACTGGACCACTTCTCTCCAGTTTAGGACAGGGAAAGGAATGGTTAAACTCAACTACAGCTGAGAAGTTAACTCCTTGTTAATTCTAGAAGAGGTCCCAGCAGAATGCCCAAAAAGTTTGGTCAGAAAGTCTCAACGTAGCACCTTGCTAGTTGCACACCACCTGTCCCCTTCCCACCCAACCCTCTTCAATTTTGATTCCAGCATTATTTGAGAGTATCTCCTTCATCATGTAAACTAATTTTGCCTGAAGCTCTTTAGCCTATTTCCATTTTTTTCCCTTTTTTTTTTTTTAAAAAAAAAAAGCGTTTAAGTCAGCCAGTGAGGGCTAATCGCCACATTTCCAGTAGCCTACAGGATGTATGAATAATATGCTGTTACCTCTTTATTACTTGTGAGGGAAAAAAACCCCAACACTTACCAGAGGCAAAGCGGAAGTGTGATTTTGACAATACTAACTTCAGATTAACAGTTCTGATATACTGTGTTACCATAGAAGATCCATAATATTTTGTGTGAAAAACACTTTCGCCAAACCTTTTAAGACTTAAAAAACCCCTTTTTAAATGCAGGAACAGATACGGTTTCCTACAGTCATCATAGTAAGCCTGAAAATAGATTTTTGTAATATTAGGGACTGGCTGGAATACCATGCAGTTAACAAAAGCCACATATTGTATGATAGTTGTTTGTTTGGTTTTGTTTTTTTTTTTTTAATCTTATGCATTACTTTGTTGTATTCCTTTTCTAAAGAGCTTCTGGGATTAAAATCTAAGAGTATGCTGAAAAAGCCACTATTTTTGAACCAGATATAAACAACAGAGATATTTTATATTATTTGGCAATGATCCTCTACTGCAATTCAAGATGTTTCAATATTTATTTTAAGTAAGTGTTTGATAAGAAACTTAAAAGAACGTGTTAGGGTTTTTCATGCAAAGGATATAGTTTTTGGATGTTTGAATCTAGAATACTGCAGGCAGACTACCAAAAACTCAGCTAGTTTGTCATAAAAGACGTTTTCAGAAAGACCTCAGAGCCACCAAAAGTCAAAACAAGGCCTTTACCCTATGCCCCAAGGCATTGCCTCTGAGATGGTATAATTGCAAGTGAGCAGGACAGCTTTTACTATACAGTGGAATAAAATAGGATGAAAGATCTCTAAAGTTCTCTCCAGCACTAGTGAAGAGGGTTCCAAATCCTGATATCTCCATTCTCGTGGAGGTCCAGTTAAGCAAAGCCTACCTATATCAAATTCTGTTATCAGAGACTTGTTCTTCAGAGTAGAGAACTAGTGTATTAAGATACTCCTCCTAATGCAATAGGCATCTTTCATCAATTGTCCTTATACAGGTAGCTTGAATCTTCATACAGAAACTTGACAGTCTTGAGCACCAAATACTCCAAAATAAAGCAAGAGCTCCACATACCCCAAAATGTCTAACCCCATTGTTAAGATCAATTTGATCAACCTGTTACACCCCACCAAGATCTACCTGAAGCAAACTTAAGGTGAACTTAAATTTATAGTCACATCTGTCTTAAACCTCTAGATATAACACAAGCATATGAAACTGTGTCAAAAGTATTTGCAGCTGTGGGCTTTAAAACACTCATTTTAGAGCTACTTACAGCAACGCCAGCCTTCACAGAACCTCTCATTGAGAGACACTGCTTTTTAATCGGAAAGGAAGCTTGTGGTTACCAGTTTCCCAAGTTAAGTTTCTTAGCAAGCCACCACTGAATTCAGTACTACACCCAGCCTGCACTCATACCATGAGAGATATAACAAGTTTAAAATCAAGAACTCTCTTTTCACAGATGCAGGTAACCTCACAGAAATGCCTGAGACAGCAGTATTCTCTACAAAATTCGGAGCTGCACTGAGCATCCAATTCTAAAATGAGTTTTCACTGGTTTGACCTAAGTAGACACATGTAGCACTGAGCACTCTCTACACTTTCTATCAATAGATTACAGGCCCTACAACAGTCCCAGATTAGCAAAGTTTTTGCTGCTGTATTTTCCCCCTTCTCCTTCCAGTTTTCTACAGGCGTTAATAGTGGAAAGGTTAGGATAACACTGAGCACAGTTGGGGCACGTAGCATTACAGGAACAGTCAAACACCACTGTGTTATGGAAGGGGGCAGATAACTACACTCACATAATACCGTTAAAAGCTCTGCTATGCAACATAATGCTGAAGTTCAAGTGGACTCAAAGGCAGAGTCTCATTACTGGATAGTTCCCATATTAAACACAGGAGCTCCTATACAACTGTCAACACAGCTGTCCCTTGAAAAAGGGGAGAGGACAGAAACAGTACAAATTAAATGAGGATTAGGAATAGAAAGTGAAGAGGAATAAAGACTAAGCAGTAAACAGTTAAGTATGGAAGGGAGCAAGCTTTCCCAGTAGTTTTGGCTGTGCTTTTTTTTCCTCCTGTAAATATTGAGACAGTGAGCTTGATTTGTTCCTGCTTGTTTTGTGGTCCCTTTAACATATGAAGATAATACTTGATCTTGATAGTTACAGTCATGCAGTATATATAGGACAGGAATTCAAGTTTTAGGCAGCCTCAAAACTTTCTAAGTGAAGATCATTAGCTGAACCCATGGAACCCAAGTACCAGCTCCAGCTGCTACAAGGCTGAACAAAGGGGGTCAGTACGTGTGTGCATAGGTGTGTTAAGACCATGAAAATACTGAATAGAACATGTTGGAGAATTAAATCTCCATTTTTCAAGTTGTTTTAATACAACTTAAGTAACAAGCATTATTCTTTGCAACAATTAAAGAGTTCATCAGTGAAAAGGCTGTGCCTTTTAGTTTCATTAGGTTTTCAGAAGCTTGTTCCCACCCCTGTTCAAGCCTATATAGATAGTCTAGAGAGAAAAGAGTAAAGGAGGAACCAAAACAATCATGTCTAGTAACACTAGGCTCTCAACCTGGACATTCAGTGTCCAGCTCAATTCTTTAGTTTGAAATACGCATGAAGTCTGATGCTTCTCTACATAGAATACAGCTTTCAGGGAACCTGTGTTCTTGTAGCAATCGCCAAGTTAGTTCCATGGTGAAAGCCTGTTTGACATTGCTTTACGGTCAGATCCTTGTCACCAAGAGCTGGAGACAGTAACTCAAAATACACACAAAGTGTCCTGGAAAAAGAGCTCCACGAAGCTTCAGCAAAAAACAGCTTAAAGACCGGTGAAGTTCAACAGATTGGAGCATTGGTTGTCTCAGATTTCCTATAAGACTGAGTTACTTAGCCTTCTGAAGTTAGTACTAGGGATAAGTTCTTAAATCAAAAAGTCCTTTGCTTTATGTATTTTTAACACAGAACAAGAGCCAAGCATCCGTTTAACTTTAAAAAAAGTAGTAAATCAAAAAGAAAGAGCAAGGGTGAACTGTACCCCCTCAGTTATTCTGTAGACTGATTAATGTACAGGTGTTCAGCATTTTATTTCTTTAAACCAGGCTCATACCAATTTGCACCTCTGATATCAGTTACAGTTTTTATTACGACAATACATACTTTGTTCTTGATTTATGGGTTTTGAATGAACAGTTGTCTTGCTAGCCTCGTTTTGAAGTTTATTTGATTTGTCTGGAGGTATTGTTTTCTCAGCTTGTTTACTCCAATCAGCACTGTCAACCTGGGAAGTTGTGTTGGATACCTAGAAGAGAAGTTAGACTTCAAAATATGTTCTGAAGTGCTAAACATGTGAATTCTTGTTATACAGCAGTAGGATTAAAGATTTATTAAAGATTTAGAAGATCAGAGCAGTAAATTTTTTCAGCTCTGGCTTCTGTAAACACCAGGGAAGAGTTAGATTTCATGCATATTATGGTAATCAAAGCAAGTTCTTGTATTAACACTTTAGATTTAGAACATGAACTGCTCAGATATCCCAAGTGGTGGAGTGGGTAGGATATGAGAAACTGATACAAGCTCTTTAATCCTTAGCATGGAACAACATGATAGAAGGTGGCTTTTACTGTTGCAAAGCCAGTTGCTCCACTCTAGCTTATGGGTCATGGTGAAGGGCAGCTGTACTGCTTCAGTTCAGTGGCAGTTTTTCTCTGTGCAAGACTAAGTAGTAATCCCCTTGAACTGGGGAAGGTGTTGCAAAAACCTGAGTCTCAACATGTACTACCGGCTGCCTTTGGATAGTGGAAAGGGCAAGTTGCTTTTCTTCCTTTCTTGCTGAACACATTCTTGTGCTCCTAGACTCAAGAGGTACTTTCTATCTGTTTCAGAAGATGAAAGCTATTAAAACTTGGCTAAAGCAGCTCAGTTTGAAACCATGTTGAGAAAGATAGCTAAACATCTTAAGATGGAAGAGATCATGCTGCTGCAGTTAACATCAATAACTTCCTTTGTAACGCAGAGGCCCTTTTAACCAGGATACTCTCCAAGAGCAGACTAATCAGCAGCGACTGAGTATTTTACAACCTCATCTATGACCCTGAAAGCCCCAGTTTCCATGGCTTTAGGAACAGGAAGAAAAAGTAACATGCTTTACCAGGATAGCCTCTAGAGTCTTCCGAGTATTACTGAGTTTGAGATTGATATTTCTAGACAACAAGAACATATACTATAAGCTGTCCATCTCTTTTGTGAAACCATAGGTTTACAGGGTGCGCTTTTAACCTGTAAGTGTGCAAGAGTTGTTTAAGTTTATCCCATAGCACTGAAAAAGAGATGAAATAAGCTTTATAGTACATTATAAACTTGATATATTGATCAGCCAAACTCTTTCATTTTGTGTTACAGCCAACAGGCAATACATTAATGCTCTATTAAAGGATAAGAATCACTCTGTTAGTGGGGTTTTAGATAACTTTTGTTGTAAACCTTAAGCAGCCTTCATCATATCAAATTCAAGCCTGGAATGTTATGTTAGATCTTATTTAAAGGAATAAGAACATGCTTTAAAGAAGTTATTTCAAATGAATGCATTGGAGACAAGCATGTATTCACCTCAGGAAGAGGATGCGCGCACTGGGTGACAGAAGACTGATTTGTCCTTGGAGTACTCTGAGGAGTTTGCTGGTCTGGAGCATCACGCAGAGCAGGTACAGCTGAGATTATACCTGAGGAAGAAATAGTGTATGATTTCCCCTAACATGCAAAGTTCAATCCTACATCTCAAAATTAGATCACTGTTTAGATCTGTGGATTAACTGAATATGAGGATATGTATCCTAGCTGTACCATTTGAGACAGTCATTTTTAATTAGTTTTTAATTGATTTCTCAGTCAATCAGCTGCCAGCCGAAGCTGTCTTTCACTAAAAACTCAGAATGTCTGAAGGTATTAGGCCTTTTGAAGTGAGGAAGGGAAAAGAATAGCTCCTTGGATCTAGTTTCTAAGCAACTTAATATTTGATATGTCTAGACAGCAGCAATCAATTCAGAGGGCCTATGGTACCAAACCTTAAATTCAGCTAATAAGCATTTCAGACATGAGCTTGAGTGGTGGTAGTGGGTTGAAGCATCTAATTCCCATCTTAAGGTGTTTAGCATTTCCTGTAACCCTGGGTTCATTAAGGTATCATTCTCCATCTTATTGGAGGGAGGCACAAACATCTCCTCCTGTTTTAACACTGTTCTGTCCCACCACAGCACCCCAGTAATCTGAAATCTGAGCCAGTTCTCAGTGTTACCATGCTTTTATTTACATCATGTTCTTTATAATCCATACCCTGCAAGAACTTTTTGTATTATCCACTTGATAATCTCCAAAACCCCAAGATAAGCTTATTGGGCAATACAAACTCTAGTTCTGCCATCCCTTCTTTCCTCAGCAGTCAAATACAGCCATGCTTCTTGCTATAAATACATTACCTGAGGGAGACTGAGAATTTTGTTCAGATGGTTTAAGTGATTTATTCTGTAAAGGCTGAAGCCTCTGCAGTCTATTGGGAGGTGGCTTCTGCAGTTCAGATGATTGAGGATTTTGCAAGCTACTAGTAAGAGATGAGGGCCGTGCTTGCAGAACAGCATTGCAGGATGTCCTCTGTAAACACAGTGGTATTCTCTAGAAAGAGATTGCATAGTTAATGCAGCCAAATCTTAAATTTTTGTAGCTATTTGGTCTCCTTTCCCCACCACCACTCTATTTCCACTGTTTATAGGAATCAGAAGTCCTTGCATTATGATACTAAATCTAGCATTTTCTAAGAGTTTAGATGACAAAAACCCATGAGGTGAAGTGCACTGCCTTGGTCTGATAGACACAGAAAACCCACGAGAACAAAACGTAATGAAAGAATTTGAAGTATGATGTTTGTTGTTACTCAGAAAGTCAGTTAGGGCTGTTACAACTGACCAAGCTGAAGCTTGATTCCTGTATCCTGTTTTCTCAAGTTTATTCCTGTCATTCTGTCACTGCAGAGGCTGCACTTTTTGAAACAATAGTCTTTGCTTATGAAGATGCAGAAGGAGCATCTGAATAATAAATTTGCAGCCTAGTTTCCTGTATCCAACTGAGCACTTGAAGTGAAAGCAAGTCTATTGTAAGAACAATAAAGGCTTTGCTGTGATCTTGCTTTGAAATACGAGGTCTCTATCTCTGGTAGCTTCAAGGGAAATTGTAAAGGCACCTAACTCTGAAAAGAATTAACACCAACTGTTTATACTGGAATAGAGCAATTCAATCTTAGAGGCATTAAAAAGTATTTTCTAGATAGAACTTCTCTTCCTTATAATAATACTATAGTAATAAGTAGTATAAAGCATCCTGAAAATGACTAACATATTGTTCAGGTGTAGAAGTGATGTTATTCATAGATAAAGAACAAAATATTGAAGGGAGGTTTGCACTGTTTATTAGGTCAATTCTATACTCAAATATCAAGTTGGAGAGGATTTTCTTTTTAGGGTGTGTGAAACCTTCTCCCCTTCTCTTGTTTTCCCTTCTTCACCCAACACAATTACCACAGTGATACTAAGAGGTAAAAGCCTCAGGAGTTCTCCTAGTGTATCAGTTTCTATACAAATAGATAAGCTACTTTAACAAATGCCAGATTTTACATCTCAATGTAAATCAGTCTTACAGAAGAAGTGGCAGTCAAGCCGTATTCATTTTTTCCTGATAAAGTTGTATAATTTCTAGTACCATTGTATGAAACAAATAACTTAGTTTAGAACAAAAATGTTATATCCATTCCAGTCAGTTTACCTTAGGCTTTTTCATAAAATCTGGACAGTTCTGTCTGGCTCCAGTCTGTTTTGAGCAGGTTTCTGTGACTGTATATACAGTGAAGCAGGCAGAAAGAGGAGGATGGAGAAAAAAAAAAAAAAATCATTCACATATGTTTCATTATTCACACATACAAGATGTGAGTTGCAGTTATACCTGGAGAGCCAAACCTCCCAGTGAAAGGAAGATTTTTGACTTCAGTTTGATGCATTTAGAGAACTTCTCCCAGATATAAAAAAAGACCAAAGATTCCTGCAGGATCAAGGTCTTCGCTGCCATCAATGACTTTGCTGTGTTTGCTTTCCCACACTGCAAAGAGTTGAGCATTCATCTCACATTACACTGTCACCTCATACAGATATCTACATTGTAAGACCTCCAGTTTGACGGATCTGTTGTCCTAGAAGAGAGTTCTGTGTATAGAGAGAAACGTCATTCTGATATCCTGATGCTGTAGCACTGCAACATCCCTTGAGCAAGCTTGAGACAGCTTAAGCACCTGAGTAGGCTTGGGCTCTACAGTCAATGCTGTTGGGACTTTTGTCCCTCAGCTTAGGGACTAAGCCTTATCCACAAGATAGAGCACCCTTCATGCTGCAGACCAGAAGATGAAAATAAAGTAAATCACACTTCCAAAAGGGAATCAAAGCTGCAAGAGTAAGGTATAGCTTAATAGTGAAGGTTAGATACACAGACCTCTTGCTAGCTGATTTCAGTCCCTAAAGTTTTTCACTGGTAAGTTGAGTGGATGTTGTAGCAGTTTAGTTGTGGTGTGGTTCGGGTTTGTGTTTGTTTTTTTTTGTTAATACTGAGTTTGTAAGTAATACAAACACTCATTTAATAGCACAGGAACTGAGCCTTCAACATGGAGCAAGCCTACAAGGGTAACTGAAGTCCATGGTAAGCACATGGAACAGTAGATGCTAACTGAAAAGGCAGATATTTTGCCTACACAAACACAAAAGGAAGCTTTCTGACCCGATTCAGAGTCGCTGCTATCTGAGGAGGTAGAATCACTGCTAGTACTGCTGCCAGAGTCCGAGGAGCTGCTGCTGCTGTCACTCAGTCTGCTTGGTCTAATACTGGACTCAGTGTTGTTTTCAACTGCAGGAGAAAAAGAAATAATTTAGACTAACCTGCAATGGAGCAGTCTTCATACACAAGACTACAATCAATCTTGTTAGGTCTATTCTCCCATGTGACAGTTCATCTTCTGCTGTTTCCTTGTCCACTGTCCATTTAGCAGTGGATTTGAGATCTTTATAGAGGAGGGAGATTTACCAGCAGCAAGCTACTTCAGTGAGATAGCCAAGGAGGAGTTGTAATCACACAACTTGCAACTCTAAAGTAGGTTATAACTGTGCTGGTTTAAGACAATTCAAGCAATTTTCCCTCCTAAGTTTTCCTGCTGTTAAGACCCTGTTTCTGTGCTAGTTGCTGCTACCAGACTTGCATGCTGAGGTCTTTATCTCTAGCCAGCTCTCTTCTTTCTCAAACCATATGTAGTCCAGAATTGTCATCTTCTGCCACCTCCCCACCATCTGACTATTTTGCATCTGTAGGGTTGATTTAACTTAGTTTATGGTGATTTTTCCCTCAAAAACTGTTTTCAAATTGTATTGCTGTGATGGAGGCTTTGAAAATGAGAAGCTACGTAGATGGCTACCTGTTTCCCTGGACACAAGTCCTTGTTAAGTGCCAGCTTAAGCTCTTCCTTATAAACAAGGCAGATGCCAGTTGTAAAGATTCCCTGGTCTGCCTCCTCCCTCTCACCACAACATATCCTTCACAATTGATTTCAGCTGCTGCTTTAAGCTTTTCTTTCTAGAATATTTTCTAGCTATCATGCGTACCAGACAGGAAGATTGTTGCGTGAGCTAATGCTGGATGCAAGCGTATCTCTTGCAGGGCTGCTTCTATCATTTTAGCTAACTGGTTTAACATAGGAGCTTAACAGGTATACAATAGAGGGCAATAACAGTACTCACTAGTTCAATGAGTAACAACTTGACCTATAATAGTAGTGTCAGCTGCATTGATCCATCCTCAGTCCCTGACAGAAACTACCAGTAAATGTAGGTATGCTCAAGTATGTACTGAATTTCTGGCTTTGATACTGAAAAACTGAATCAATTCTCCTAGGGCACTTCCTTAAGAGTAAGACAACACAGCACACCCGCCATTGATGCAGTTTTGCCAGCATAACAGCTAGCTGCTATCTAACAAGTATGACTAGAGTTTGGTATTCCTGAATCCTTAAGCCACACAAAGTGAATTGCAAATATACATAGACTGTGGGACACTCTTCCCCTGCCATATTTTCTTATGTCAGCATAAGGGAGAAAGTGTTCAGTGTTCCTTAAGCTCCGAAGCTGTTATCTTTATCTGTTATAAAGGATTAGGTGCAAGAATAAGGAAGATATTTTAGACAGGACAAGTAATTGACCAAGTTTGCTGCTGTGACTCCAGCTCATTCAACATAGGAACAATCTTAAGACTAGCAATGGGAAGCTTAAGAGCTCAACTGTTCTGAGAAGAAAGTCTTCAGCTGCATAACAGTACACAAACTCAAGGGGAAAATCCCACTTTAAGCTCTCTCTGTCACAAATGACTAAAAGTAAGAGAAACATTACACTTGAGCTTCTTCTTCTTTGGGTTTAGTTGACCATTGACATCCAGTAGTCTCTTCTCTAGCTCGCGTTTCCTCTCAGAATTAAGTTGTTCTTTTGACTTTGTTGTTTTTTTAGCTGCATGTGAAACAGAAGTTAAACACTGTAGCAAAATGGAAAACAAATCTGGTTTTGGTTGGTTTGTTTGTTTTAAAGCATCATTTATGCTACATACCCTGCTGCTTTCTTTTCATCTTCCTTGAACAGATTGCCACATATTTCTGTAGTTCTCTGAGTGTTGAAGCCTTTAAAGTTTCAAAGTCTATTTCTATCTCATCAGGGTTAGAATTTCTCAGCGAAGGCTCTCTTGACTGTATTATATGGACTACTTTCCCAAGCTTGTCTCCAGGCAGTTTATTTATGTCCAAACTCAACTGTCTCTTTTCATCATAATTCATAGGCTTGGCACCATCTTCGTCTTCTGACTTATGTGCCAACAAGACCTGCTGCATAGTTTTCTTTGATTGACTGCAAGAAAAAAGTGTACTGCAGTAACATGAGTTTAAAATAATTTGACACCCACACAAGTCCCCCACACTTACATGTTTAAAGACAGCTTTTCCTTAGATTTCATCTGGTGTTTTAGATTTTTCTTCTTTTGAATCAAGCTTTTTATTTTGGCTTTTTCCTCGTTCTTACTTTTCTCCCTTTTAGTTTTGCTTTTTTTCATTTTCAGCCTATATAAGTATTCTCTGGTCAAAGCCCGCAACCACTGGTGAACAGTTTTAAGCTATCAAAAGCAAAAAAAAAAAGCTGATAATCTTAGGCAGTGTAGGATGAACAATAAACTGGCCCTAAATATCACAGGAGACTTGTGGCAGTTGAACAGATATTAATAGGATGTTTGCTTTCCAAATGAGCTTTATTTTCCAAGCATCTTACTATATAGATTAGTCATAGTCTATGTATATAGAAGATGTAAAGCTACTTATTTTATGCAGACATTTCTAACAGTCTGTCTTCTAGCATCCTGTGAAGAATTAAAAAGCAAAAATAAGTGTAGGAGTATCCAGCAGCTTCTCTTTAATTTCAAGCGTTTGAGAAGCACCTAAGTGCCTTATTAGGTTAGACCTCTACAACATTACTGAATTAGGCTAGTGGGACTGGGCTTGTGCATCTTCAACCCCTAAATCCCAGGTATTTTGTGATATCAAATGACCTAAATGCAGTTTGTTTAAACCTCATAGGAATTAGAAGGAAAATGGACAGTCAATGAGAATTATAATTCAGACACGCTGAAATGCTTCCCTATTGCTAAGGCTGTCATCTAGACTTTTGGTTGTCCTCATGCTTACATTCATAAATTCATGATGATGTATATGCTACTCCGACAAATACTGAAAACTAAACTGTCACTTGTTTGACTAGCAGAACAAATGCTAGTTTTCCCCGTAGTTTAGAGATACAACAGCAGCAGGTTAAAGTGTTATGTTCAAACAAAAGGAAGACCCATTTCACTCTTAGGCAGAGAAGCAAAGCCATGCTTTGTTCACATGAGCATGAGATTCCTACTGTTTTACTTCCTACTGAGCTTTCTGAAGTAGAGTTTAATGACTTGCTTTTGTGTGGCTCAAGAAAGGCTGAAGAAAAGAAGTCTTCAACCATATGAAGGAAAAGCCATTGTTAGAAGTATATGCCGCTAATCTACATGTGGAGTATCTGGATGCTCTCATCATACCGCAGCAATACAGTTTGTTTTTTTTAGAAGTTTGAGAGTCATCTGAAGAAACAGTAGGCAAGAGTATTAGAGCAATGATTCACTAAAACCCGTTTGTATTTGCTGAGGTACTATTCACTAAACATTTCCTTCCAAGCAGGAAGAAAGTTCTATATTAAGAAAAGAAATTAATACAGAATCTTTTAAATACTGATTCTTGGTGCTAAGCCTTAGAATGGATAATCGCAAGTGGCACACTCAGATTATAAGTCATGCACACTGAGTACTAATGCTTACTTGCTCCTGAAGCTTTGCAAAATGTGCTGTTCCCTCCAGATCAGAATCTTCAGATGATTTTTCTTCTGAAGAGTCATCATTACAGTTCTCACTAGAATAAGCTTCTGTTATTTCTCTTGTAGGCTGTGGCAGATGAACACTCGCAACAGGTTCATCAGGAATTTTGGCAAAGTGCACCTCAAAAACATCCTAAAGTGTTAGGATTGGGAACAGCAGAGAGGTCAGTATGTTTTTCAATTTCTAAAAGCATTATGAAGTTGCTGCTTCTTTTCTAGAACTACACAGCAACATAGTAGTTGGTAACATTAGTAGATGCTACATTAGATCATGAGATGACCACAAAGGAATCTTACAGTCCTACTCTTTTTCAATTCTGACTTAAGCGATAGCTCACCTGAAGTTTTCTTGCCATAGCAACTATTTCATGGTCTGGAGAATAACGTTTGTAGCAGCTCATGAACATCAATCTAACATCAGTAGCAAATTCTTGTATATCTCTATATTCAAAATTATCCATTTTCTTCTAGAGGAAAAGAAAATTAATGCACATTTAGGCCTTAAAAGTAGAAAGCACTGCCATGAACTGGCAGAAAAAAAGAGGAGGAACAAGAATTTCAACATCCAGTATCAGGTTCAGCTTGTATCAACACAGTAAATATTGAAGGAACCATTATGAAAACACTTGCTTCTCATTTCAACGTTGTCCCTTTAACATAGTAAGAGGATTTCCTCTTTTAAACAGGTTTGCTAATTTTAATTGCTGTAAGGACTTTGTAGTACTGGTTTCAGCACCAAGTCAAGACAACAATATTCAGGTGATTTTATTTGGTCATGTGCTCAGCACTTGTTTTTGAATCTAAGTAGTATTTATACAAAGCCTATTCCATAATTGTTTGAGTCAATGTAAGGGATTGAAATCAGGAAATAACCTTTATATTTTGCAAGCCAGTTTTCCAGATAATTAAATAGACTACTGGAATTCAACCCTCCTTACAAAGGTGGATCTCAACTTGGCTAAATACTTCAACCCCAGACAGATGTGCCCAGTGTTCGCAAGGCAATGGCCACATATCTCCATCTAGAAGAGTTCCTTTTCACAGAAAGTGTGAAAGGTGTCAAGTAAATATCCAGTGTTGAGGTTCCAGGGCACCTCATCAAGGATAATTAGATTCAGAGAGAAGCAGAAGTTTACATTACAAAATTGAATTTTGTCTTATAGAGCATTAGCAACAGCATTGCGTATACAGACTGAAAGATATTTAACATGCAGCCTGCTTGAAGTGCTTCATGGAGATGGCAATTACCTTGCTACTTACATTAGTTTGTTCGACAGAGAAGTAGGTTAGCAACTATGCATATAGTCACAATGAAACTTAGGAGACTTTCTTCAGAGAGCTGTGGCTTAGTTTGTGGAGAGAGGCAAGCGTATATGGTTTCTATGTTGGTTACTTCTTTCAAAGGAGAAGTAGCTTTTGTGACACCTTTTCAGCTAACACTATTAAAATCCAGTCATTATACAAGTTATTCAAGCAAGCACACAAACAATCCAATTCCCTCTGAAACATACTTACTTTAATGGTTCCCAGGTCTGGTGTAGGGCATCTGGTGATTCCTTGTTTCTTGCCAAATGAGAAGGATGCAACATCTACAGGTTTTAAGAAAGGCCATGCATATGCCGCATGTTTCTTTGAAAACATTTCTTTAAGTATTTCATTACAATGTTTTAGTTGTTCTGACAACTGAATCTTTTTAAAAGTTTCAGGTGACTGTTGAGAATCTGGCAAGTATCTCTTCAGAAGCTTATTTGGTATAGTATGTTCTTTTTCACCTCTGCATGCTTTAACAGCTTTTCTTTCATTAAACGTTGCAGAAGATCCACCACTTGCTGTGAATAATGAAGTAGTAGGAGTTGTAGTGTCAGCCTTCCTTTTCACACCTTTTTTTGCCTAGGAAAAGAAAATTTTACAGTCTAAAATACAGGATGCCTATAATAGTGAGAGAATGGTCAGCTTTCAGACTATATAAAAAAATAAATTTTAAAAGTGTCAGAACTTTTACAGCTATTGAAGTCAGAGCAAAATGTAGCACTTCCACAACTTCTGACTGGAAACTTACAAGGCACTACAAGATCAGCATGCCAAGCTCAGTCTTAGATGTAAAGGAAAGAACAGGGTTTGTGCTCTAAGTCAAATTGTGGTCAGTTTTTAGCCATTTGGGAAGACTCTGGTCTTCTCAAAAAAAAAGCTAGTAGGTTAGGAAGTTACCACAAGATGACTGTCATGGGAAGGGGAAAAATTACTGCAATTCATTTTAAGCCTGGTTGAGGGCTTTATGTACAAAGTTTATCTCTATTTTTCTTTAACCTGGGTGGTATTTGGTTTGGAAGCGATACTTTGTGTGCTTTGTCATCAGTGTTCAGTCTCTTCAGTAAAACATAAATATACACTGTATGAGAGCCTGGCACATGTGCCTATTCCTCACTGGAAGAGCAAAACCAAAACTAAGTCAAGACAAGAATGTTTGTCTAATGAAAGTGTCAGATGTTCACATACAATTCAGATTGCAATTAACAAGAATTTGCTTTTGTGAGCTACAAACACCTTCCAGGCTAGTTACACAATGTTTAAGCAAACATGCTATTTTTGGGGAATCAAGCATTTGATTTACATTGAAAATATGAGAAGTTATTAAATAGAACTTAGAGCTTTATTTTCGTAATAAAACTTTTATCTACACCTCAAGGAAAGAACAGTTTCTATATCAAGGTGAAGCTTGCAGAAATACAGTAGTATACTTCAAGAATGACCATCTTGAAGTTCACTGTTTCTTTGAGAACATTTTAAAAACACATTTATAAGAAGAGATATACCCAGCAGTCATCCCAATTTCTGCTTAGTTTCTAGAATTAGTACTGTCCTAGTTACTTAGCAGAGACCTAGAAGATTTAATAGAGATCTCTTACTGTCTCCTATCACAACAGAAGTTTTGAAAAGATACTGCAATAAGCATGGTTCCTATGGTTTTGCTGTTAGGGCCTGAAGCAGCAATTTCAATACCTTTCTTTCTGAAAGTTACATGGGGAAACTTACTTTTGTTATAGGGACTGCAGTTGGCATTAAAGTAGTCAGCTGAGCTGCAGACAAAGGAGCTAGTGTAACCTGATGTAGCTCTTGAGTCATTGCTGCAGTCTGCTCACAGCTTTCAGCTTGTTTCTGCACTGTGCTTTGTTCATTTGAAGTCCCAGGGCTGGGCTGCTGTGTTTCTGGTTATTTTAAAACAGAAAGTTTTAAAGGTAGGTCTTAAATGTTTCAGTTAATTTCTTTCATGATCAAATTGAACAGTTGTCAACAGAACCACTCTTCCACACCCAAACTGTACAAATAAAACCAAACAAGAACATTGTTACATATAGCGGCATTGGTATCCTCCTGAGCTAGCTAGGATCATGGCTCCATGGCTATCAGAAGGCAAATAATTAAGAGGTATCAGTGTGAAGAAGTGTTGCAGCTCTTTCAAGACACAGCTAATATTTCCCCAACAACTGATAGCAGTACCTCCAGGCCAATTTGAAATACTGCCTTGGAGATCTCCAAATTAACCCACTGAGATGTACATGGGAGTCCAGGCACTGCATAGTCTTACTCCTATCCATATAAATCTTTATTCTTTGGCAATGTTGAGAGCTTAGATGCAGAAATGAGCACTTTGTGCAAGTGAAACAGGTTATAAGAGCAATTGAAAAGACATAGGAAGTCAGTGGTGAGTAATAACTTGCAGCTAATCACCTGTGCCCTTGCAATTAGGCTTCCCAATGTCACTTCAAGCACTTACATAGTAATTTCCTCATAAGTTTCAGATGCCTTGACTGAATTGTCCTTTTTGAGGGCAAGAGCACCACATTTTACCAGAAGTTTGCCTGTGAAGCTATGTTGTTACACTACTGATCAAGTTGTTAATTCTTATTTTTATCCCCTCTTAAACACACTTCATTAGCAGAAAATAGGAAATTTAGCTAGTACTTATAAAAAAAAATATATTATGACTGCACTCGATCTGCTAAAGCCTTATAGCAATGTTGTTACTTGTCTAATATGTTCTGGGAAGAGTGGAGAACACCCCGACTGCTACAGGGTTGAGTTGTGACGAGCTACGGAGGATTCCCTCTTTCCAGTTTTTGCTTGTTTAATGTGTTAACAATTCAACATATAATACAGGCCTTACCTTCTGGCTTCTTTCCTTTTCTCTTTCCTTTGTTGAGAATCACTACTCTTTCTTCTGGTGGCATTTGGGCTATTTTCTGCATAAACACTTTTTCTAGTTCTTGAGCCATAAACACAATGTCATCACCTGGCTGCAAAATATTGTCAGTAACATGCAGAGTAAAGGAGAGGCTGCGGTAATGGACGGCTGCCTTGTAAAATAAGCAGTCTACAGAATCTTGCTCCTACAGATTGAAGCAAGCTATCAGTACTATCAGTACCAGAAAGGTCTATAAATCCTTGCCATCCCTGCCTCCCAACTCACTTTAGTATAAGTTGCTTCATTACTGAAATACTTTTTCCTCCCACTGTCCCATTGGACAGCTCTACATACTTCACACAACAAAAGGAAAAGGGGCCAGATCTGGAACTCGCTTATTCACACTTAAGTTCTGAAGAAACCTGTTGAATCTTAAAGAGCTTCAACACAGCCAACAAACATCCAAGTGCAGGGAGATGCTCACATTTTAAGTTAGGTTAAACTTGTTGGAGGAGTGGAGCATAGCTCAGGGTTGTGAGCCTTAAACTTCACAACAGTTACCTGGTGCTTGCTGTTCACAAGCTTTGCAACTAAAACCTAGAGATTTTGCAGGCAGAATCCCTGTGCAGGCTGCAATAACAGTTTGCCTGTTTTAGACTAGTTTGTATTGTTCAATAGAACTGGTTATTGGTAAGAGGTTGTGTTTTGCATACCTTATTATATATGTAGCAGTTCGAGAACATAATCTTAAAGTCTTCAATGCATTCTGCAGCTTTTGTGTAGTAATTGTGTTCCAGACGCTTTTGAATGGTGCTCAAGTCCATAGGTTTCTTTATAATACTGTAATAATCCTGCGGTTTTGAAAGAGTTAGTCACACAACAGATATCTGTAATGTTAAGACATGATGATTCTTACACATTTAGCTATGGATATTTAATTACAAGACAGAAGAATTGCATTATGGTGGAAGGAATATTTTCTTTAAAGGAAGCCTTCCCCCAATAGTCATAGGTACCACAGAAGTAAGTGCTCGGGAAGTCTTCACCTCCTATTTTCTCCTTGCACTTTCATATAACATCCACCATTCGAGGTCCCAAAGAATATTTAGAATAGGATCCAGAGCTATACTGGTAGTAGTACTTATGAAAATTATATGTACTTCTCATTTGTTATCTCAGAGCCATTTACCTGAAGTAGCACTCCAGTTTACAGAACAAGGGGAAAAGAAGCCAACAACTGACTTTGACAAAGGCAAAGACTCAGTCACTGACAAAAAGAAGCCACCAAGTTTTCACAGTCGCTGATCAAATACTTGATGCCCTGGGTTATATTGGCTCTCCTCTCAGGGTTAGCCTAGTGAAGATGTGGCAATATGACTGAAAGGCAGCTGGAATGTGAACTATTGTGATTACTTTAGTAGCATGGCTAAAGACTTGTGATTAAGAGCATGAGGTAAATTCCTGCTAGTGCATTTAAGAAATCGGAACAGGAATATCCCTACAATGTTCACATACACATTGTAACTGTGTGAAGTTACTACTACTTCAAGAGTCTTCTAAAGCTGTCCTAAAAACCTGAAATAAATAAAAAAAGCTAAATGCATCATAGTGTAGACAGTTGAATTTACCAAAACAAAGCCAAGAAAGCTTTTAAATAATGCAGCTAATAATTAAGTATTGTCCATTCTGCATCTTCTAACACCTGGAAGAGAGAGGCAAAAGAGACAAGTACCTTCATTGTCCTTGCCATGGAGCCAGAGGCTTGCTTGTTATTGTGCAGGGGTTGAACTAACACATACTTTTAGAAGTCAAGTGACTGCCTTAGAAATCCAGAGAGGCAGAACTGGCCTGAGGCCAGCTGCAAATGTTGCTGCAACTCTGATTGAGTGACCCTTAACATTAACCTTAAGTGACAGTTCTTTCCAAGAAGGAAAAAGGGCAAGAAAAGATGCAGAAGGACAGTAATTTTGACTGTGCTTTTGGACAAACTGACCAAATGAGTTTGTCACAAGAATCAGCTGCAGATAAAGGCTTTTGTCTGCACTAAACAGAACCAATGATTTTGTAAAATTAGTCTTGGAAATTTGAGAGAACTAAATATAATTGCTTCAGCTGGAGGAAGTGAAAAAAAATCAAAGGAAAAGTACTATGGTTTTATTTATCTTTTTTACCTTTCTACTTATCTACCAAGAACAGTATCTTCCAGGTCATTTGAAATACCATTATGTGAATAAGCAATGTTTTCATTTGAATGAAAAACCTGGGGTGATCCAAAACTGGAAGGAGTCTAAAGATACCCGACTTAAGACAATTTGTCACAAGACATTCTATTCATTCACTTTGTTGCAATTAATTGGTAACATAAAACCCACAAGACAATACAGAACAAGAATTTGAGCATCAGATCTTCTATTTCCTAGAAGAATGTTCTACCACTGTGGTATGAGAACACCATATCTCCTTTCCTCTATTTTTGCAGGGATGTTTAATTCCTCTAGAAATGTCAGAACAAGATGCCAAAGTTGATTTGAAATTAAGTAGTACTACAAGTGTAATTACTTCTGTGCATCAAACTGGATCCAGATTTGTCTGTTTACTTTAGGGTCAACCAGATCCGCTTTTCCATCATAAAGTATTTTACATTGAAAGAGGCTGGCTGCCTACTATTAAAACTAAAAAACTCAAAGGCAAGAGACGGTGCTCATCATATATAGTGTTAAGAAACATGGCTAAACCAGCAGGGAGGTGGAAAGAAGACAAGACTGAATACCAACATCCAGAAACTCCAAGAGGCCTGTCTAAACATTCTTATTATCCCTTAGAAATATTGATTTACTACAGTATCTAATCAGAATGCAAATGAACAAAGATGCAGCATTTAGTATGAACCAGAGAAAAAACAGTTTTCTTGCAGACTTGGATTAATGAAAGCAGTTCATATGCAAAAGTAGTCTTCCATGATCTGTTGCATCAGAAAAAACTCTTTTAAACTAACATTAATTCACAAGTCCTGTAATACTTTACATACTAATACTCCAATTACAAAATGCTTCTTACAGGAAGATTCAGTGCCACTGCATCTACAGGCTGATGAAACGGCCAGGAAAAGTTGTGTCTCCACATGGCTTTCATGACCACCCTCTGTAAGTACTGAAGTTGGTTTGTTTGACAACCACTATTTTTGTTATTTATATATTCTGGTGGAGGAGGGTTAATAGTAGAATGGTGTTTGCTTGGAACAGACATCTTTACCAAGTTTGTACATCCACTTGTTCAAAGATCTTCACACATCTAACCTGGGGGAAAAAAAAGAAAAATAAATACTATTCAGTGAAGATATCTAGATTTAATGGTATTTACATGTTCCCTTTTGTTTGTAGAGTGTCAATACTGTAGTCACAGACATGCCTTCATGACTTAACCAAGACACATTTGTTTTGCAGTGCATGGTTGGATGTGCTGGACCACTAGAGGTCAGTTCTTTGGGTTATAAACAGCTGTATTTGTAAAGGCTTAGAGAGAAGGCAAGTTGAGATCTGTAAGGCTTCCCTAGAAATAAGCTTCCTCATCGAGGTTCATCTACTGAAGTCTAGGAATACCACCTCTGCCTCCACCCCTCCACAGATTGAGTCCTATAAAATAAGTTTAACCTATGAAGCAGCTTTACAGCACAGACTGCAAGTCTCAGCACACAGCAATAGCCAGGCATTACCGTCCTTATGCATCTCAGCCATGTCACTGCACAGAAGTCCTACAACTGCCAATAAAATGTTTTATTTCGAAACAGTGCTTTTCAAGTTTGTGTATGTTCACAACAGTATTTTCTGCTACTGTGCATCAGCTTTGTTACATACCAGAGGACTATAAAAGGTTTATTCCCCTCACCAAACATTTTGGATGATTTAAAGAACGCTGCAAGGAGTAACCATGGTAATTTGTCTTTAGCCAGCACAGCATTGCTGTGCTGGAGCAGAATATGCAGGTACTTAGGAATGGCAGAGGCTGTGTTTTGGGGTGCATAACACCAGTACTAAGCTAGGCAAGACCTTCACCAAGCACGATTACAGAAGTTACAGTCCTTGCCCACCTTCTTAGCTCATCATTGAGTGACAAAAACCCAGTCAGGAGTTTCACTTTCTTATCCTTATTAATACAAAAAAGTGCCTTATTTTCTCATTCTGACGTTAGTTCCTTGGTTTACCAGTGTAACAGTTTCTTTTTGTACATTCATTTGATCATTACTTATTCCATTCTCAATTTGTCTTGCTTTCCACTAAAAAAATCTGATAGTCTGCTTTTCATCATGGTATAAAGTATTTCATGAGTTTCAGGAAAGGTCATAATAAGCTAGATAGCTACTGTTATCAGCACACTACTGGAATAGTATCTATGTCCCACTCTTACAACTGTATCATCCCATCAGACATTACCTGTCACACATCTTACACTTTCATCTTTGTTCTTTATTCTAGCATTCAAAAGCATGCCTCTTCTTAAACAGCTCTTGAGGCTAAAGAGCTGTTCTGATTTCTCCCCCATCTGTTCAATCTAGTAATTTACAGAACGCAAATGTCTTTCATTGAACAGTACTGCCATCAAGGTAGAAATTTTCTTTTTTCTTAAATAAAGAAAAAGTATCAAACACGAGTTGTTAATACCAGGAACAATTCTTCACTATCAGCCAGCATATCTACACAGACACTACATCAGTAAAAAATTTAGTACAAGATCAGATTGTTTTGAGGTCCACAGTAAAGCAGGTATCAAAACTACGATTATTTTTCATAATCTAAAGCAAATTTTTTAAAAAAAAAACACAAAGGGAATCTAGTTTTCCTGGAATAAGATATTCAACTGTCAGGGTACTGTGTGTGCAAACCAGCTTGCACTCTACAGACAGAGAAGATAACACACTGTTAAGCACAAGGCAGACTAACTCTGAAGTTAGGCATTTCTCTGCTGCCTGCTTTTGCAAAGCTAGTTGATACAGTGGTAGGTACTGGAGTGTGCTGTATTAAGGAACCTGGTCTCTTTTTTAATCTAGAATTGACTTCACGATCTTATTTTTCCCCTCTCATTGCCACTTTTTCCTTCCAGAGGGGCTGAGAAGCACCATAACTCAGAATACCTCCCCTTAAAATACTGAAGTCCCAGCTACCTCCTTACAGAAAATTTAGCAGTTTTAAACTGTTAGCTATATGTCATTTTGGTCTCACATGCTGAGGCACTAACAGTAAAGCACAAAACGTGTTGCATTTTTGCAGTTGTCAGTTTCACAGCAACTTATTTCCTTCTAGGGAGAGGCTGGTATCATACTAATCTGCTCTTTTTGACCTGTACTTTGCTCTGTACTTTCAGTTGGAGATGCCCGTAGCTACCCAGAGGGAACTCAGCCAGCTGAGGTATTGAGAACAACCTTACTGGAATTGTCCTTCCCGTCAGTGCAGAGCCCTGCCTGTCTCCTAGCACAAGCCAGCAGCAAGCTCACCAAACACCTTCTGTTGGTGCAATACCATAGTTAAGGCATCCATATTGCTCTCCCTCTGCACAGGAAACATCCATTTGTTTTCCAGAGTTTGGTGCACACATTTAGAGTTTGCATGCCTTGGAAAATAGCAACACCTATCTGATATGAAAAGTGAATGTAAACGTAATTTATTACTAAGCACACAATGTCAGGCTTAGCATAACTTTTACTCAAATGGAGGCACACAAGCAGTAGCAGTAGCCAAAACAAGAAAGGAATAGAACTTAATAGAAAGTTTTAGGCTGAACTTAAAAGTCTGGAAGGCCAAGTAAATTCCAAATATTGAGTTGTCTTGTGTACTCTAGAAAGAGGAGGAAGAAAGGAAGGAGAGCACAAAGATTCAGGGAATAACAGCTGCAGAAGCTGCAGTTTCCGCATCCTTTCCAGCAGTACAGACGTACAAAGATTTTATAACAACATGCACAATTAAGTGGTATCCTCCATTTTCTCTACCCCAATATACGTTTCATATTTAAAAGAATATACACTCCCTCCCCTAAACAACATATAGCTGCATCCAGCCCCAACAGCATCTGCTTTGAATGTAAATAATTTCTACTGCTGTATGGCATTTCTTGCACCAGCAAGACCTTACAACAGAAGTTAATACAAGACAAAAAGCTGAAAGACTTAGGTTGAATACCATACATTACACCTTAGGTAAGAGGAGCACATATAGTTGGCACCACCACACATCATGCTAAACGTTAAGCTTTTCACCAATATATATGTCTCAGAATAGAAAAATCCAGACACATATGATCTGCTTCTCCTATAACCAGGGAGTGTTAGAAGAACTGGGAAAAGTTCTAGTGCAGTTTCAAGAACTTCACAACCCAGCCAAGTCCATCATCCACTGTTTTCATCTATTAGGCCAGGCTATCATTTTTCGCTGACTTTCTGCCAAAAAACCCACATTTTGTGATATAAAATGCAAATTGTTCACCTTTCCCATCTGAAGCACAGAGGCTAGAAATTTAACAGGAAGGGAAATACTAAAGTTTGAACTTTAAAAATCTCATTATAAAAAGCAGATAAATAACATCTAATACTGGAATAAGAACACAAAATAGCATCTAATTTCTTGAACATTTTATAAATCAACATGGTAGAGTGTCAAAGGCAGCTCTAACTTGACATCAAGAGTGCCCAAGGAAATCAGGAGATTGAAGCTTTGTGTACATAACACAGTGTCTTAGGCCTAGACATCTAGCTTTTAAAAATCTTAATTTGTGCTGTGGAAACTAACTTCTATGCCAACAGAAGAGCCAAGACTGTATCTTCTAAAGGACAGACAAGGCTTTATGTTTTGGTCAATCTCTCCTTTACTATCCCCACCCCTTCTCCCTGGTCACATAGCATTCTTCTCTAGCTTTAAATAAAATCCAACTTTGTATACTGAAGCAAAAGCGTGATCAGATTCTAGCCAGCTAGATTGTTTAATATTTTTTCAAACCACCCCTTCCCAGTCTCACCTGTCCTTAAGCTGCTGAGACAGCTCCCAAAGGTCAGGCAGCCTCAAAAGAGAAGTCTTCAGTGTTTCTTTAAGGCCCAATTTGAAGTTTTTTAGCTAACCTGATTGAAGTTTTAATTTAAGAGTAAAAAAAAAGCAAATGGCTCACATGAATAACATCACTGGAGAAGTCAAGGCTTTAGCAAAACATCATATCTTGTGAGAATCAAACCATTATTTATTTTTTTTTAATAAAAGATTGTTTGCTGCCTCTGATAGCTCTCTAAAAGCAGGCATTAGCTAGCCTACTGAAAAGGTAGCTATTTCCCCTTGTTTTAGCTGAGCATTATAGTTACCAACATAGAACCCATATATACTATCCTACTAGTCAGGAACAGCAGCTCAGAGAAATATTAACATACCACATACAAAACAGAAACATGGAGTCTACCAGGCTCCAGTAAGTGCATTTCATTCTTCTAGGCCTTTGTAACAACTTTTGTTTAGCTGAGAGTCAATTATCACATACAAATTTCTTAAACAATATTGAACCCTCCTAGGCTGAAATATTAAGGCCAGCCAGAACAAAGCACAGCACAGCCTTCTTACTCTAAGTACCACAACCTCTTCTTTCAGAAGGACAGCTATCCCCCTATAGACACCAATAAAATAGCATTTTATTATTTTTAGGGCCTCCTAGGACACATCAAACAAACATTAGTCATAGAGACAAGCCATGCAAATATTAAATCCAGAGAAACCACTTACTTACAGCAACTACCATAACCAGCCAGCCTTACTGGCATTAAGCAGTTCAAACCAAAACTGAACTGCCACCCTCAAACCAGAGCAGGCATCTTTTTACCTTAGTTTTAGAGAAAGCTAGAACTCACTTTCTCCCCACCCAAGGAGTGAACGAAGAAGAGAGCTCTAGAGGAAAGACAGAAGTCTTTATAATCTGCTCACTCCCTTGTTTAACTCTCTAGCACTAACACAGCACACACCTGCAACTCTAATAAAACCTGCCCTATCAGCAGTTCTCATTGGAAAGTTATCAGTATAAAATAGGAACAGCTGCTAAGGGCTAAGACACACCAGATGATTATTTATTCCAGAGTTACTAGTTAGTCCATAAAGCAAGATGGAGGGATGAAGAAAGATGAGTGATTCAACTTAGAAGGATTTGGGTTTGATTTTCTTATCTTAGCTTTAAAGTCTTAAGATTAAAGATAATGGAAGCTGTTATACTTTATCACTTATCTTGAG